AAAGTCTCTTATCTTAAAAGTCCTAGCGCTAGGCCAGAAGACTCCTCAGCCATTTGGCTTTGGGTCCCTCTTGAGAGGGGGCACTAAGTCCAGAGGGTCACTCTCATCTCTCAGGAAACTGGTTTAGCTGGGGAGATGCCTGACCTAAACAGTCACCTTTCGGCTTGTGGTCTGTCCCTCACCCTTCCTCTGTTGTGGGCCACACCACACTCCCTCTGCACACTCACTGGGGAGATCACCCCAACCACCTCATTTTCTTTTGTAACACTGTTTGGCCATAATATAAACTACAGGATAAGTCTCAATGGCCTAAAAATGGCACTTTTAATTTTAACACATTGCACAATTTAGATAATTGCTGTCACCCCATGGTGCCACCTTTCCAGATGAAAACCCATCCCCGGAACACCTCCATCACATGAGCTGGAGTCCCCTGTTACAGCCACCAGGTTGGGCCCCCCAGACTCCACCTTACCCTCCTCTATCGTTCACCCAATGCGGATGTAGCCCCCAATATCAGTCTTTACCTGTCCCCGTAACCCACCATATCCGACACAAAAGGACAGTTCAGATAATCCCTCCCCTCATAACCCTGGGCATCACAGCAGAGGATGGAACTGGCACAGGGGGCCTAACCACTGCTCTATCCTGTTTTGAAATCCTGTCTCAGAACCTACAAGAAAGCTCTGGATGCCAGCAAGGGGCAAAACTGGGAAACAAGAACCTCGCCCCCAGGGTACCTCCCCTCCCCTAGCAAATAACTCGTCAGGCAACTAAGACCCCTGACCTTTTCCTCCCTAAGGATCACATCTAGGCCTCAGTTGCATTTCAGCTCCAGGCCCAGAAAAGCAGCAAAACCAGACAAGTGACGCCGTGGCAGCCTCGGGACCAGCTTCTGCCTCCCAAGTCCCCCAATAGGACTGTTTTAGAGCCTTCCAGGTGGCCTAATAAATCCATGATTCTTCTCCCCTTTTGGCCCCGTGTGTTCCTCCCCGCGGCCCTAACATCCATGTCCCCAGCGTCCTGAGAATGAAGGTAAAGCTCCTCCTGCAAAAACCTCACCTCGTCTCTCTGTTGCCTTTACACCCACAACAGGCCCGGGTCCCGAGTCCTCCCTGCGCAGTCGCACCGTCACGTCCTTACAAGGCGGCCCTGCAGCCTTTCACCCTCTTCCCCCATCAGCCCTGTGTCACCCACGAGGGACTCACCATTCTGAGCGCTGGGACCTGGGCGGCGGGACCTGAGAGGCCGGTCCCCAAGGCTGGAGGGTGAAATGGGGTCCGGCTGCGGGGACGCTGTGAGCAGAGAGGAGTCCGGGAGGCACGGGGACCCCAATCTCGGGCTGTTGGGCTCAAGGAGCCTCAGACACACCCCGCACGGCAGGCGCGCTGCCTCCCAGGCCTCCTCCTCCTCACGACCAGCGCCCAGAAGCCCGTGACTCTGTGGAGACCTGAGAGGAGGAAGCAGGAAGTCCTACCCTAACCGGATGCGTAGACACCAAAGTGCCCTTTAGCTCCGCCCACGCGGGCGCATTTCCTTCTGGGTAATGTAGTTTTTCCAATCGCCCAGAATCCTAGCCAATGACTTGGGTGTTGTGGCCCAGCAAGTAATGCCTGAGGAGGAAGATGGGACCAGAGGCCTGGCTAACTGGCACAAATGGATGAATCTCAGAGGGAAGAGGGTGGGAAGGAATGCAAGAAATCCACCAAAGGATATAGACACAGGGGAAATGGAATACATCTGTAATATTATCAACAATAAAAAAAACATGTATTTTTAAAATAATGTAGCCCAGCTGGTGCGGCTCAATGACTGAGCCTCAACCTATGAACCAGGAGGAGAGGGTCCTGTTTTAAAATTTATTTGTTTATTTACTTATATTTTTAAATTATTTATTGTTTAACGTATTACATATAGTATTACATGTCTCCTTTTTCCTTCATTGAGATTTCCCCAGCCACCCCCACCCCACAGCACATGCCCTCACCCCCCATATGTCTTCGTCCATTGGTTATGCTTATATGCATACATACAAGTGTTTTGGTTGGTCTCTTAACCCCTCTCTCCCGATTTCCCTCTGAAGTTTGACAGTCTGTTTGATGCTTCTATGTCTCTAAATCTATTTTTCTTCATCAATTTATGCTGTTCATTACATTCCACAAATGATGAGGTCGTGTGATACTGGTTCTGTTCCTGGTCAGGGCACATACATGGGTTGCAGGCTCAATTCCAAGTGTGGGGGTGGAGTCCAACAGGAGGCAACTAATCAGTGATTCTCTCTCATCATTGATGTTTTTATCATTCCCTCTCCTTCGACTCTCTAAAATCAACAAAAATATTTTAAACAAAGTATGTACATATATGCATAGCCCATGGACATAGACAATAATGTGGTGAGGGCCTAGAAGCAGTGGGGGCAGGGTAGAGGGAGTAAAGAGGGGAGGTGTATGGGGGAAATTGGGAACATCTGTAAGAGTCAATAAAATAGAATGGTGTGCACAGCTGGCAAGCTCAGTGGTTGGGAGTGTACCCATGAACCATGATATCGCTGGTTTGATTCCAGGTCAAGGCACACACCCAGGGGGCAGGGGGCGCTCCATCCCAGTAAGGGGAAAGACTGATTATTGCGGGCTACATCATCATTGATGTTTCTTCCTCTCACTTTCTCTCTAAAAAAATCAATAGACATTTAAAACATGAACAGTGTGAAGATTGATTCAACAACAGCAAAGTGGGTGTGGGCCATCACATTTTCTTCCAAGTCTTGTAAGCAAATTCATGCCTTGCTCTGTCTTTATAGAGGATGTCTCAGGCATAACTGTGTTGTGGAACAGGAACCCGCCTGGAGCGGGTCTGCCTCAGGTTGGCCTGCAGTGTTTGAGTTCTTGAATTCATGCAGAAAAGATTTCACAACATAAATTCACAGATTTTGAGGGAATATTTATTAAAACTGGGGAAAACGAAAAAACAAACAAACAACACCTAGGGCTTAGGATGGAACAAGGAACAGCAGAGAAAATAGGCGAGGGTCCTTTTAGCTCCTAGAAACACTGTGGAAAATAAATGAGCCAAAGGGGGGCTGCTGTGAGCTCACTGGAGAATCAGAGAAAAGAAGGCCTTGAGCACAGGTTCAGAGGGTTAGCCCGGGATGGGCTGTCGCTGCTCATTGCTGCCTCCGTTGCAGGTTGAATGGGATCCCTTAAGCTTAGGAGAGCCTGGCCGGTGTGATTCAATGGTTGAGTATTGACCTATGAACCTGGAGGTCATGGTTGGATTCCCTGTCAGGGCACATGCTCAGGTGGTGGGCTGGATCCCTGTTGTATTACATGCAGGAGGCAGCCTATCAGTGATTCTCTCTCATCATTGATGTTGCTCTCTCTCTCCTCCCTTCCTTTCTGAATCAATAAAAAATATATTTTTTGAATGTATGTTTTAAATAAATTATACTTCCATTAAAGTTAAAAAATGATTAAAACTTGCCACTTCCCAATTATTTTACTATTGTATTATGAATGTTCTTGAGCATGTTTGTACCTACTGTATCAATAACTTGGAAATAAAATATAATGATTTGCTACTGAAATATCTTAGCAGGCCCACGTTCGGTGATATCACTTTGGAAGTTTGAAAGTGATGGTAATGGAAGTATATACAACAGAAAATTTGACAAATACTACAAACCTTGACTTCACTTAATATACTATTGAATGCTTTAACTTAAAATGAATGGTGGAGAATGTTAGCAATGTTGTTAATCTTGTAAGAGTATCATGCAAGTGGGCTTTAAATTGCACATAGGATACAATTTGAGAAAAACAATTTTCTTTCCAGTATTCAAAACATATAGTTCCAAATGGTAAAGAAGTCAGTTGAGTCCTTGAGGAAAAGAGTGAAGTGAAAACAGATGTCTTAGATGCTGAACTGTCTTCCTATTAATTAAATCATAAATTCATTTTAAAAATTGGCAAAAGTGTCTGAGCAGACTTTTCAACAAAAGAGATAAAGACAGTGTCAATAAATGCATAAAGAAATGCTCATCATAAAAATTTCTTAGGGAAATGGATTTAAAACAAAACATCAATGATGAGAGAATCATTGATCCACCGCATCCTGCACGCCCAGTACTGGAGTTTGAGCCCACGACCTGGGCATGCGCCCTTTATCTGAACTGAACCCGGGACCTTTCAGTTCACAGGTTGACTCTCTTTCCACTGAGCCAAGCCAGCTAGGGCCTAATTTACTCTCTTTCAGGAAACATTAAGAATGCTACTCTACCAGTATGCTGAAAAAATATATATGTAAAAGGCTAAGCAACTGTCTGACTGCCTGACAAGTAGCTATGATGCATAATGACCACCAGGCTGCAGATGCTCAACACAGAAGCTGCCGAATTGTGGTTACTTGGCAGCAGCGGTTCTCGGGTGATGCACCACAGAACCAGAGAGGGGGGAGCTGGATTTCGGGATGCATCACCCGAGAACTTCCCTCTCACAATCCAGGAGCCCTCTGGGGATGCTGAAGCGCTGGATTTGGCCTAATCCCTGCAGGCCAGGCCGAGGGACTCCACCTGTGGGAGGGACCCTTCAAGCCACGGTGCCGCCCCAGGTGCTGCTGGCTGGGGAGGGACTGTGGGAGGTTGGCTCTATGGCTTGTGGGGGGTCTCACCCAGTCCCGCCCCACCGGCCACTTTCTAATTAATTTCCTTTCAATGTGCATGAATCCATGCACCAGGTCACTAGTAAAATATGATGTACTACATAATGGCTTAGGACCATGTTCAATGCCATCATTTTGGCAGTTCCAAAGTGGTGATGATGAGTATTGACACCAGGGAAATTGCCAACTACTACTAATCTAGACTTCAATGTATCATTAAATGCTTAGACTTAAAGAACACTGGTGGAAAATTAACAATGCAGATTAAACTTATAAGTGTATGGTACAAGTGGGCTATAAATCATATATAGGGTAAAAATTGAGAAAAAAAATATTTTGTTTATAGAATTCAAAAACCAAGAATTCCATATGGCAAAGAAGTCAGTGGAGTATCTGAGGACTGAGTGAAATTCAAACGTATGTCTTAGAGGCTGCACTGTCCTATTGTGTAGAATAAGAAATTAACTTTTGAAGTAGATAAAAAATTCTGAGCAGACATTTTAACAAAGGAGATAAAGAAAGTGTAAAGAAATACAGGAAGAACTAATCACCATCAAACATTTTCATGGAAATGGAATTAAAACAAAAGCGAGTTAACAGTATACTCACGGATGGGGCTAGTACTTAAAAAGATTAACCTTCACCTTTGCTGGCAGGGCTGCAGAAAAATGGAATTTTCATTAGTGTGGGTGGGAGGGCAAAGTGATTGACCATTTTAGGTCACAGTTCCCCATATGTTGAAATGTAACACATTCACTGACACTGGAACACTATGATAAGTAAGACATACACCTGTAGGAAAAACTGAACACAATATTCTGAGCTGTTTTATTTAGAAAACCTGAAATGTAGAAATAACTGAAACCATAGACAGCTCAGTAGTAAAAGTGGTTATCCATAGAATACAGTATTTCCTAGCAATAAAAAATTAACTATTTATATAAACGTTAGTGTTAAATCTCAAAATATCTGTGTAGCATGAAGGAAGCCAGTGTTTCTTAAAGAGAATTCACCTTATAGTGCCAATAAAATTATGAAAAATATGAACTACTCTATTGTACAGGAAGGTAAATCAATGCCTGTATGGAGGGCTGGGTAGGCAGAAAGCTGACCAAAGGATTGGAAGTAAATACAGGGTAAGGCAATAGTAGGTTTACAACTGTTGGTAATGAAAATAATACAATAATTAATAACACAAATATAAACTCTCCATGGCCACTGTGACTCATTTTACTGGGCGTGATCACATTCACTGAAAGCCACTGGTTTGATTCCAGGGCAGGGCACATGCCGTCCTGAATCCCCAGGAATGGTCATGCAGGAGGCAGCCTATTTCACCCGTGACGGTTTCTCAGCTTTATCTGTATGTTCAACCTCACCAAATATTGCACATTAGAAAAGTGCATTTCCTTGGTTGTCAGTTATATATAAACCTAAGTAAAGCCTTGAAATGTGGTTCCATATAAATCCTAGGCATCCCTCTGTTGTTAGAAAATTAAGATGGCAACTCTATATAGTCACAACCATCCCTCTCTTCATTTCTTGGGAGGACCAGCCTTGCCTCAGTGGCAGCAAATATTGGCAAGCAGTGAAGACTATTGCCATCAGTCCAGCTGGTGTGACTAAGTGGTTGAGCATTGACCTGTGAACCAGGACGTCACGGTTCAATTGCCGGTCAGGGCACATGCCCAGGTTGTGGGCTCCATCCCCTGGGTGGGGCGTGCAGGAGGCAGCCGATCAATGATTCTCATTCATCATTGGTATTTCTCTCTCTCTCTCCCTTTCTCACTGAAATCAATAAAAGTATATATTTTAAAAACAACAACAAACTATTGACATTAAAATTAACAGGAATGCTGAGTTATTACAAAAGACATATCTGGGACAGATTACAGGATTATCCTTCCTCTAGCTTTGACTTCTTGCCTGTTGAGCAACTTAAATGCACAAAGTCATGTGGCCTTTCTTTCAAGCCCATGGGCTGCAGTAAATAATAAGCCAATATTGGACAAAAATTGATTTCCTGCCATGATGCTGTCCCTTCCAAACCACATAAACTTTGGGGTAAACACAATATTCATCTCTACATGCTGACAGATCACATTTGTGTTTGCAAATCATCTGTGGCAGGGAATAAAACCAAAATTAAAGGGCAAATGTAAACACACCTTTAGAAAAAAGATCCTAAACCAGAGCAGAGGAGAGCTCAGAGTTTGCAGGTTGGTGAATAAGAAACCCTCAAAATTTATCAAAGCATAATGTGAGTACCACTAGGTCCCTGAAAGAGGTAGCACTTCTTAGCTGAGAACTGGTGCTCTGGATGAATCCTGGGTCAGGTCCATTTTCTAGTCATAGAGAAATGAATGAAGATACTGCCAAGAGCTTGGAGGAACCATAATTACTTCAAGCAGAAGCGAGAACACAGAATACATTCCCCTGAGCACCCAGGGAATGTGACCGATGCACACTCCTCAGGTGAGCCAGGTGTTAGAGGTGAAATCTCTTCAGCGATAAACACTCACAGTGACATCATTTGGGTTGCAGGTCTGGGCATGTTAGCAAGTACAACACAGCTCCTTCAAGTCTCACTTATACCTCAAATTTATGAGGAATCTAGCAGAGTGTATGTTCTCATTAAAGGGGTTTACATTCATGTAAATGGGTCCCATAGAGCCCTTTAAGTGTTCTTATTCTTAATGAGAAAAGTAAAACATTCCCTGCACCTTTACGGCTTTTCTCCAGTGTGAACTCTCCTGTGATGTGTATTCAGGCTAGAACTTTGACGAAAGGACTTCCCACATTCACTACACTCATAAGGTTTTTCTCCAGTGTGAACTCTGTGGTGTTTAATAAGGTCAGTCCTTCGAGTGAAATGCTTACCACATTCGCTACAACCATATGACTTTTCTCCAGGGTGAACTCTTGGGTGTCTAGCTGGTTTATGTTTGTAGCTAAAAGATTTTCCACATTCACTATACTTACTACATTCACGAGTCTGAACTCTCTTGTGTCGACTGAGGCTATAGCTTTTACTAAAGGATTTCCCACAATTACTACACTCATACGGCTTTTCACCAGTGTGAACTCTGTGGTGTTTAGTGAGGGCAGCCCTTTCAGTGAAATGCTTCCCACATTCACTACATGCATATGGCTTTTCTCCAGTGTGAATTCTTTGGTGGGTAATAAGGTCAGTCCTTTGACTGAAATGCTTACCACATTCGCCACACCCATATGGCTTTTCTCCAGTGTGAACTTTGTGGTGTCTAGTGAAGTCAGACATGTAACTGAAGGACTTCTCACAATCACTGCACTCATACGGCTTTTCTCTAATGTGAACTCTGCTGTGTTTAATGAGAGCAGTGCTTTCACTGAAGACCTTTCCACAATCAGTACCTTCACTGGGCTTTTCTCCAGTGTGAACTCTTCCATGTTGAGGTTGGTTAAAGATTTGTCTAAACCGTTTCCCACATTTATTAGACTCATAAATCATATCTCCAGAGCAGAGACCTTTCTCATAAGCAACTTTCTGTTTCTGGCTGGCAGCTGTTTCACATTCAACCCACTGGTGATGTCTTTTTCCACTGAAACATTCCTGTGAAATCTCATTGTTACTGTGTGGCTCCTTGGTGTTAAGAGTAGCCTGATGCTGGAGAAGCTCTGAGATGGCTGGGGAGTCTTCCCCAACCTCTGTCCTAGCTGCAGGCACCCCGGATAAGTAGAAGCAGCAACTGGTCCCAAGCGAGGACCTCTGCATATCTTCTTTCCAGGGCTTCTCTCCACTGGCATTCTGCTGTTGCTGGTGAGGGTCTGCACTGGAACACAAGTCTCTCACACACGCATCACTTAAGAACACATTCTTCTCAAAGTAAACCACTTGTAACTCAGTCAGGTGCAAAATATCTTTTAACACTGAGAAGCACGGCTTACACAGATGGGTCCTCTGGGTGGCTGCAGCTGTCTTGGAAGCCCTCACCTGAGACTCTCCTACAGATACACTGTGCTCAGAATAGGCCTCCACATCATCCATCTTACGCCAAGGACCTGAAAACGGAGGAATGATGAGGAAATGAATGTTGACTCTGGTGACAGGGGGAAGTCCCATTATAAAAGTGTGTTGCACATACTACATTGGTTTCGTGCAACTGGCTGAAAATGAAAGACCTGAAAGATAAATTAGTAAGAGGCCCCTGTGAAGTTCTTGACCACTGAAGATCACAAAACAAGGGAGATTTCAACAGAAATAGAGCAAAAACATGGCAAGCACCACATGGAAGAGAAGTGGCCTGACCAGCTCATTCTGCTGCTAACAGCCTTCAGTAGATCTTCTCTGCTGGTGACATGGGCAAGCTGTGCAGAAGGTTGGTTAAATCACATTCCAAGTAAAATTCAATACACAAGTAGCTGGTGTTTGAGGGGTGTTTAAGCATTTATGTGCTCCTCATAACACTTGCATAGGTCCATGTTGTAGAATACTGCAGAAAGAGATGTGCAGAGGAATAGGTGATGTAAAAAGGACACAAAGGAGAAGATAGACAAACTAAGAATTCATTGATAAAATGACAAGTCAGCAAAGTATCAAGTGTGGAAAAGGAAAGGTATAAATGAGGTGTGGCCATTGGAACCTGCACCAAACACCATTAGACAGGAGCAGGTTCCTGGTACAATCTGAACACCATCCTTATGTCATACCTTCCCCCAGTTGCCACTCAGCCAGGCCAGCCTTCCTCTAGGACCATCCTGTATGTTCACCCTGGAGAAAACCAGGGTTCTCCCTGAACCTCATTCTCGAGAAATATGTACAAACTAAATATTCCGAGTATCACTGATTAACAACAGAGATGAACAGCCATCACTATCCCATAGCATCTGGCTTGCAATATTATTGTGGAAAGGTAATATTACAAACAACAATTGAAGGAGGGTCTTAAAAGAACACCCCCTGGTTCAGGCATTCACCAAGGTCCTCATCTACAGAAAATGCTCAGAAGTGGAGGCCACGGATCTGGATATAGTCACCCTCCCTGGGTGTGGAAGAGCAGGTGGGACCCATTAAGCTGTCTGTACATGTGTTGACACCCAGACAGTTCCTGCAGTTTCTGAGGCAACGAGTGTTAAGGAGGTTTATGGAGTCTATTGCTCAGGGCTCTCCACAGAGCTCAGCACTGGCAGCCACAGCCCATTTCACAAGACAGTGGGGTAAATGAGCAGAGCCCATGGTCTTGATTTGAGAGAGAGAGTGCTATGTCTGGAGAATAAATAAAGAATGGGCATCACTTCAGGACACCAGGAGAGATGTGAAGGTCTTACCTACAAATGATACAAGTGAAAACACTTCCAGCATCACATCACAGTACAGACGTCTCTGAGACTCATCAAGGATCTCCCACTCCTTCCGAGAGAACGCAATGGCCACATCCTCAAAGTTCATGTCCTGTCATAATGGAGACAGCACATCCCATGATAAGATTCTCTCTTGAGATTCCAAGCTTGTCATACTCATCACCTTGCACATCCATATGCTCCCTCTACTCCCCAGATCAGAGAAGATAGCAGGCCTTGGTCCCATCAAAGTCAATCTCTCCTTATATTCCTACTGATGCTGTGTCTTCCCACAACAATAAAGGCAGATGAACAGATACAAGATACCTGTCTTCTGATCCTCAAATGTGAGTCACACTGCCCCCTTTTAATAACAGTGGGTGTCAGGAACATAGGGTAGAAAAAAATGTTGCCCATGAAGGGAATGTGATGGATTTGACACTGGTCTTGTCAGGCAATACCCATGTTGTCCTCCAAATTGTCCCTCCAAGACACCAAACAACATGGTAATGCCCATTACACTTCTGACTCCAATCCCAGTTTGCTGAGGTCATCACTTTGCATTATCTGCTGCCCATAGTTCTTTGATCCACACTTGTCTCATACAGCTTCATTCCCAGAGGCACAACTTCACTGGGAACACAAATAAGCCATGACAAGGACAGGGTGTTTCCTAATTAGCTTCTTTTTCAAAATTCTAGTTCACCACCTCTGTAATACATTTCCCTCTGATTCTTCTCTTCTCCTTTCCCCATGCCAGTGGAGATTTTCAAGCGCAGGTGACACTGATGTATGTTATCTCATTCCTATTGTTCACTGGGTCAGCCCTCAACTAGAAATGACAGGTGGGCACATATATGTCACCTAAGCTCTGGACATGGCATGTAGCACCACAACAACCTATCTTGTTAGGAATTATCCTAAAATTTCCCATATCATATCATAAAGACACCATCAGAAATGGATGCCCTTTTCATTCACTCATGTCAATATTGGTGCCCTGCCCTCATGAATTCACACTCCCTCTCCAAGTGCAAATCACTCTGCCTACTACACCTCTCTCATTCCTGAACTCGCAGAGCCTCAGCCCCTATGGCGATCTCCTGGGTTTTCTACTCAGTACTCAGCATGTGTGTTCCAGAGAATGCTTGGCAAATTCAAAGATCAAGGAATCTACCAACTCTGATAGTCCACAGTCATAGCAACTGTCTTGAACCTGCTATGAAGGCCTCCCTCCCTATTTATTCCTTCAACTTCACCTACTGAGAACACATCACATGTCAGATATCCATAGTCCACCTCCACTGGTGCTGCACCTGATGTCACTTCACCAGTCACAGGCTTCATCACTCAAGTCCCATCACCTATTGGCCTCTACCCTATGCCCAGTGAGTCTCACAGATGACCCCTCATGGGCCTACGCAAGTCAACCGAACTGACTGCAACACCTCAGGCCACACCCAATGGCACAAAAAGTTCCTGGTGGATGTTTTAGAAGTAAATATGCACCATTCCCAGTCTCAACTTGTTTGAATTACTCTTCAGCCTCCAATTTTAAAAAATTATCTACACTCCTTCCTGGTCCATAATTCTCCACAAGCTTTTGAAGAAGTCTTCATCGTAAACTACCCCTCAGAGCTGGAGATACTCATGAACTGCTCTCTGAAATCTCAGACTCTAACAGGCTAGAAAGAAAAGTGTTTGTATCCCCAAGGAATATTACTCTCCTATGATTTTCTCCATCTCAGTGGATGGTGCTTCCACACCTGCAGCTGCTAAATCCTAAATGTCATGACTTCTCTGACTCTTATCTCTCTCTCTCTCACATCCTGAAAATTAGAATATTTAGGTGGCCACACCTAAAACACCAATCCATAATGCAACTGATTCTTCCACTTCCACAGCCACCATCATGGGCCAGTCCCATCACCCTCACTAAGACTATCATCCTACTATTTCTACCACCTCCCTCACGCCCATATTGTCCATCATGCTGCAGCCCCAGAATCTAAGGATCCCTGGTCACATCACCTGCCTCCACTGCTCCAAATCGCCCATTTCTCCCATAACAGGCAAAACAGACACAAAGTTCCTCTAGACCTGACTCCTCTCCCATTCTTACCTGTTCCAATTTTTTTTTTAAAAAAGAATACCTGCCAGTTCTGAAACCAGCTCCATCTTAACTCCAAGCCATTGCACATTCTGGTACCTATGCCTGGGAGGACCCACAACTTCTCATTCCACTGGTTGCCCCAAACAGGGACCACTTCATATAACACTGGAGCTGGACTGAACATATGGGCTTGGTGTCTGATCAAGGTCCTCAGGTCGAAGGAGAGGAGAGTCCCAGGAGACCACTATCTCTTAGGCTACAAGAGTGGGAGGCCCTAAAATAAGTTCCACAAACTAGTACCCCGTAAGTGATTCTGCATTTGCGGAATCTGTGGAAAAATTAAGGTTTGCTGAGAGACTGTCAACCACCGCCAGGATCCATGGACTCATGCTGCTCAGTAGCCTTACCCAGCCCTAGGGCCAGGTGACCTCGAGATGCCTGCATTACCTCAGGGCTCAGTCCTCAGTGCACATTCTTGACAGATGCATTACTTTTACAGGACTTCTCCTTCCTGTCCCTAACAGCTCTCCTCTCTCTTCCAGTCTGTTCTTCCTTTGAGCATTTTGGGTTAATGGTTAGAACCCTGTCTCAGACTATATCCCTTGTTTCTGTCACTATCATGGATGGCCCCACCTTCCTGATCTTAATGTAATGCTACAGAGTAGGAAAATTTTTAGGCCTGCTTAATGACCTAGCCACCTCAGCAGCTTGACAGCCTGAGCTCACAAACCTGAGCAATGGCCCACAAAGAACAAACAGATCAAAATTAAGAATAGTCCTAACCTTTAAGTTACCCAGAAATGAATAACAGGAGGATGAATAGCTTGGCTAAAACTACACAATTAGCTTTTGTAACTTGGCTTTGCTTGCTATGCGGAACCTGAACATGAATGTAGTTGTCCCCTTTAAATATTGAACTCTGCAGATGGTTGGGGCCGCTTCTCTCTTGGGCTTCCCGAGTGGAGGAGTGGACACTGGCCAGTGTCTAAATTTTAATCAGTCTGGAGTTCTGGTCATTCTGTCACTCGAGTTCCACAACAGTAACAAACATTCAAAACTTTAAAGAATTTTTGTGGTTTATTTTAGCAAAATTGAATACAATTGGCCAAAAGCAGAATCTCAAAGTTTTGAGATAATGCTCCAGAGAATGGTGTTTTTTTTTTTCTCCTTATTTTTTTACACTGCAGTCAAAGGAGGAAATGTGAGTGGGCTACATGAAATCCGATGGTAATAGATTAGGGAGGCAAGAGCAAGTAAAGTAGGGAAACCTCTGGGATTAGATAAAAAGTAAAATGATAGACCTATGCTGTTTTACATAGGTTTGTAGAGGATAGTTAACAGTCACTAACAGGATAATAATAACAATGAATGAATTTGTGGTCTCCACCCTGGCCCACTGGTTATTCCCTGAAGGGTCCAGAAAAAGGGAGTTACAAGTTACCTTGACATTCCAATCATATGTTGTCATAGATACAAAAAACAACAGACAGGCTTAGTTAGGTAAAGATTGACTTTTGTCAGAAAAGAATCTAGCCTAGGACATGACTACTTGCCACAAACAGCATTTAGTTAAGTTTTAATTTCAGACCTTCCTTTGGGGTTATTTAGGTCTCTGAGTTTGCATGGCGGCCATGTAGGCCTTCCCTGAGATAGTCAGGTTAGGATGTGCCCCCTTTTCATCCACACTGAGAAGGAAAGTAAAATTCATCATGGAAAACTTGGCCTCATGTTCTTGGCTGCATTAAGACACAAAACAGGCCTGGGTTTCCCGAATCCTCCTGGCTCAGTCATACCACCCAGTCCTTACACAGTGGCATTGCACCCTGTCAACCTCTTCATCCCATCACACCCTGTGTCACCCACAAGCAACTCACTGTTCTGGATGCAGCGACCAGGGCTGCAGGACCTGAGACACACCCGCAGGCAAGGCTGGAGGGATAAATGGGGTGAGGCTGAGTCACACTCTGTAGCAGAGAGGACTGTGTGAAGCAGCAGGCCTCAAACCTGCCTGTTGCCTCCCATGCCTCATCCTCATTCCTATCTCATTCCTAACTATCTCATTCCTAACAATGAGTGTGTCACCCCCAACAACAAAAGGCTGGTGAGTAGATAAATGTCACCGAAGCCCTGAACCTGGCAGGTAGCACCAAAACACCCCTCTTTTCAGGCAATTACCCAAAAATAACCCTTATTTTATCTTCCAGGCACCACCAGATATGGACTCACCCTTCATTCACTCCTATGTCAATGTCAGGGTGCTCTGGCCATAAAGTCACACTCCTCTCCAAGTGCTCATCACTCTCTACCACACCTCTCTCACACCTGCACTCCCACAGTCCCGGACCCCACAGTCATCTCCTCGCCCTCTTACTTATTACTCAACATGTATGGTCTAGAGAATGCTTGCCAATTCCAACAGAATCAAACTGTCCAGACACTGATAGTGCACATTTATAGAGGCAGTCTTGAGTCCTGCTATGAAGGCCTCTCTCCATGACTGTTTTACCACGATCAGATCTCAGATACAAGAGCCAACCTCCCCTGGTGCTGCACTTGATGTCCTTTCATAAGTCACAGCCAACATCTCTGCACTTAACCGTGACTGAAGTCCCAGCTGCGCTGGCCCTCTGTACCATGCCCAGTGAGTCTCACAGATGACCATTCAAGCCTTTAAGCTAACCCAAAAGACTGACTGTTACTCCCCAAGTCAGGCCACACTGAGGGTCACAACAATATCCTGGTGAGTATTTAGAGTCATGCACTGAGGTCACATGCCTGGGTTGTGAACTGGATCCACCATAGGGGTTGTGCAGGCCTCAGCTGATCCTTGTTTCTTGCTCATCACTGTTTCTCTGTCTCTCTCCCTCTCTCTTCCTTTCAGCATCTAATATATCTATATATCTATATTAGTTTTTCCAAGAACATAACTGCTGGTGCCTGAGTCAGCTCACTCTTCACTCCAAGCCTTTGCACATTTTGGAACCTATGCTCTAGAGGAC